CTGTAACATACTCTAGGAAAATGTTCTTGGAAAATCAGCTGCAGCAACAATATTAGCTTTGTTAGTAACAAAATTATTAGAAGAAAGTATTTGAGCTTGTAATTATATTAACGAAACAATGTTTGGCGTGAATATCTTAAAAGGAAGGTGGTATATGGATCTGAGACATGATCGTTTACTATGGACCTCATAAGAAGGCTCAAGGTCACTCAAAGGGCGATGGAGCGAGCTATGCTCGGAAATTCCCTGTGTGATCGAATCAGTGTACTTACGTTAGGTGTGCTCGCTAGCGATTACGTCAAAAATCTCTATGAAGATTTTGTTTCTTGAAAGTATCCGCTAGGGACGCTGCACAATATGTCATACTAATTAATGTAATTTTTTTACGCAGTCGCTAGCGAGTACACCTAACGTAAACTCATGGTAAGCACATAGAAATGAGGAGATCTGCAGGAGAACGAAAGTGACCGATATAGTCCGCAGAATTGCTAAAATTAAGTGGCAGTGGGCGGGGCACATAGCTCGCAGAGGTGATGGCTGATGGGGCAGAAATGTTCGCTAGTGGCGGCCACGGGGCGGAAGACGTAGTGTGAGCAGGCCCCCCACTAGGTGGACCTACGATCTGATGAAGGTCGCGGGAGGTGCCTGGATGCGGGCGGACGCAGTAACGGTCGTTTTGAAAATCTTTGGGGCAGATCTTTGTCCAGCATTGGACGTCATTTGGCTGAAACGAACGAACGAACTTTTTCTTTCTTTTGCTTTTTTCTGCTTAACTTGAAGGTAAACTGGTTGAGAATGCTTAGTGCATTAAGTTCGCCATATGTTCTTTGCCATTAAAGATTAAATAAATAAATAAACGAACGAAGGAGGTACACAGTAGAAAATGTGAGACAATTCATCTTAATTGCACTTCGCAGGGCAAGTTACGATAAGTCTACCTAGCTAAAGCCCTGACGCCTACAACGCCCATAAAGTCTGATACCACGATAATTACCACCTACACGATATAAGCACATCAATTAGTTTTAAGTACCCAGTGTATTCTTATCACAGCATCCCACATCTCAGGTTTGTAGCGGTAAATACAAAATGAAGCTACTACCGCTACCGAGTTCACTCATCCGTCGTAGAAAACAGATAATCTATACTAATATTTTTAAGCTCAAGAGTTTGTTTGATTGATTGAACTGTTGATTAAACGCGCTAATCTCAAGAACTAACTATAAAACCGATTTGAAAAAAAAACTGTTGGATAGCCCATTTATCGAGTAAGGTTTTTGGGCTATAAAACGTCTAGAAAAATGTTGCAAAAACGGGAAAGATTATTCAAACTGTGTAATTTCACGCGTACGAAGTCGCGGGTACCTACAGCTAAAAGTAATATTTTGTGTTGTCTGATTGTATTTACAATATCCAATTACCCTGGGGCTTCATTTAGAGTTCGAGAATAAGTCCCCAGTTATAATAACATTATAGGCGCTAAATAAGTAGATGTTTTTCGAACTAATCTGTGATATTAAATTTCAGAAATAAAGCCTTATTTATTGAGCCGATTGTTTACTTTTTTCGCTGAAATAAGAATTAGAGATACATCATCGCATTTCAACTATAAATGATAGCAAAATATTATTTTGTTATCATTAAAGTTGAAATCAACATATTTGATAAGGGCTTTCAATATCTCGCTTGTACTCGTAAAAGTTTTTTTCTGCTTATTTGAAAATACCTACTTAACTCTTGAAAAACTAGTACACGTTATAAGTATCATATGTGGGTGCATATTGATTAAAGATATTAATTAAGTTCATAATATACTTCACAGTATTCTCTTCCTTATAAGACGCCTACGAAGGCACAAAAATCCTTACACTTTTAAGGCTGTTAATTGATACACTTTAGAAGAAGATGATATTGACAAAACCAACTAGAAATTTAAACAGAAAGCAACCCTAAAGAGTCCTCGCACGGCCAGTAACAATGAAGATTAATTATATTAGCTAGATAGTTCAAGTTAAATACTTACTCGCTCTTGAGACGAGCTTAAAAGCTTATTAATCCCAGTCTAGATTTTATCGCCTAATTGGTGTATTTAGAGAAACGCACACAATTCTCGCAATATTTATTTAATACAAACCCTCGCCCGTTTCAGTCAATAAAGGTGTAATAAGGTGAAGACGATACTCTTGTTATTCTAAAAATACTAAATATTGGAAATGGTAGACGCAAAGATGTCGTGCCCTCCTTATCAGTCGCTAAGCCTTTTCAGAGAGGTTAATCACATACGACACCCGCCTTGGAGCCGAGTGCTACTCAATAACTCCCATTGTTAGGGTAACGCGGTGTCCTAAGTGGGACATACAAGGTGTTGATTTCAATACTCGCCATATTGAGGGAGTTGATTATGTAGCTTATTCTGATCACGAATCAGTAAAAAAATTGACTTCGAAAAAAATTTAAAACGAACTTTAACTTTAGTTATAGTCTTTTTCACGTAAGATGATCCGTATGACAATTCAAGGTTATCCATATTACGCATACTACATATGCAGAATATTTTTTAAAAAATATTTGTATTTTATTAGCAATATAATAAAAAAAATAACTACTTGTCTTGAAATATATAGTAAAATCTGAGTCTATTGATTATATTTTAATTAAATACGATGTAAAAATATTTTTATTTAATGTACGCAATGTGTGAAACGGAATAGATTTAGTGCTGGGGTATTTCTTGTATAATAAAATCGATTATTTCCGCGGTTCATTAATCGATTGCAGTGAATACTTAGTTATTAAAAAGATCACAAAAATCAACTATATTTTTCGATTACTGACTTTAATAAACGCATTGAAAATAAATTAATAGTTTTTAATTTAAAGAAACAGAACCAGGACTTTTTAGGAATCGTTTTTTTTTAACAAAAACCATGAAATTTGAATATTATCAATAAAAAATTGTTACAATAATATTTGCAATTAAAAAAAACATGTTTTTTGTTAAATAACACCTATACAAAATATTTCTCTAAAAGTAGGTTTTACTAACTCTTTGAAAAAAATCGATAGATAAATCGCTATGGTTTAGTTATGTGACATCTCTAAATCTTTCAAACTCGAAACGTCATACGGATCATCTTAGGTGAAAAAGACTATAGTCAAAGAAAAATACCTATTTACACTGCCTACTTTACGTGGCTGCCTTCAGTAGCTATCCGACATGATAAGCGAGCAATCCGCGTAGCTCGATGGTGCCGCAGTGTAAACTTATTGCAGTATTACGAGGCACAGAAAAAATACACGTTCGTTTGTAATTTTTTTTTTTGGTGGATAATGCGTTTATTTATGCCATAATAGATCACCTAAATAAATATGGCGAGGATTGAAATCAACACCCTGTATAATATACGAGTACACAAGCAAAGTACCGCTGGCTTGACAAAAGTCATACGTTTCAGTTTTGATTTCTTAAATGATTTCTTTTTTTAACAATTATGATATTGAGTGATAATAATGGTAATTGATGGTAATATGTATAGCTTAAAGAAAACTATGTCTTGCCGATTTCTTAGTCCAGATTTTAAACATGGTTTGCTAGGAAGGCACTGCAATATTTCGTAATGAACACCCCCTAATAGTTTATCGTAAATTTTATTATCTTTCCATTAATTTACCTATATTAATTCCAGGCCCAAAAACATTAACAATTAAGACTTTTCAAAAACTTAAGGTTCTCAAAAGTAACAAAGTTTTAGCAGCTAATTTTACGTGCAATGAAATGTATGGGTAATTGAAAAACACCATTTGATAAGTAGATCTCTGTAGTGAATGGACACCATTTTACACGCGGCTGAAGTATATGACTTTGTAATCTTGGTTAATAATTCCCACCTGCAATGTTTGTTTTCATTAGAGAGTGGTCATTAATGTGCTAATTAATGCATTTACACGTAATTATATACAACAGGTGTAATTATTAGTTAATTTTATTAACTAGTTGTTGCTTTCATTTTAATTTAGTTGATTGATAAAACAAACGCAATTTCTTTGAGTGGAATATTTGAATGCGGGAAATAAAATCATAATGAATCAAGTAAGTAGTAATTTATTAAACAACTTGATAAGATTTTTATTTATAATATAAGATTATGGTTTCAGCTGTCAATGTACAAGTTTCATACTCAGAGCTGATGCAGACGACTATATCGGACGATCCATAGATTTTTTTACAGTAATATAGATTTTTGTCTCTTTCCGAATAATCAAAAAGAGTTCACATTTATTGTGTTACATATTCCAATTGTTGTATTTTTGTTACATACTTATCTAGTTCTCTTATAGAAAAAAAAATTGATCGCAACACAAATTATGCTAAACGCGTATTAATGATCGTCCCTAATAACACCCTGGGTATACAGAGTGTTATCACACGTATCACTTCGTCGTCACGTAGAGCGTGACTGCAGCAAGATGCGAGCACGGCATTACGTCCACAATCCGAGAAGACATGCACACGCACGCGCATCTCATTGCAATAGGCTTAGTGTTCCCAAATCTGGAGCATCCAACGTCATAATCCAGTTCTGGATGCATAATGCATGGTGTTGTGGAACCACCATGCGCCTGCCATAAGCGCATTACACACAAAGCGGCCAGATTGCGCGCGGTCACCACTATCAGGGATTTAGGCGGATTTGCACGCTGATTTGATAATCCGCGATGCTCTGAGCTGGGACTGTTGGAGCGGTTGCAATGTTTCCAATTAGTTAATAACCATGGGTGGCACGGCTAATTGAAATTGAATCTGTATCAACTCAGACTGACTTATAATGGAAATTGTATATATTTTTAAAGTATGTACTAAGTTTATCACAGACCGCTATTTGAAGAATTTTGAATAGATTTGTACTGGTCAGAGACTGAGTTTGTTTCGCGGTTCTAAGCACTTTCAACTGGGAGTTGATTTTAAAATGCTGCTAAATATACTTTATACGGTTCTTGCTTCTCTTGCTGTTAATGTTCCTCCGCAAGAAAAAGAAAATCCTGAAGGAAAATCGCATTTAAGCTTCGCTAGCAAAACATCATGGCACAAATCTTATCCCAATAAGTATAGCCCTGTTTTAAAAATGTCCTTCTTACCCTATATAGAGCAGCCAGATGGTTAGACGTAGCGATCAGGAAAGGCTGGTTGACCCCCGGATGGTCCATGTCATGCGCAATGGCCGCCAGTAGAGATGCCAGGATCTCTTGTGGTGTCATGTGTTCACGGATCTGGGGAAGAAAACTCAATGAGAAAGGTACTAGCAAACACATAATATTAGCTATCTTAGGTGCAATTTTATTACTAGTTAACTGCAGTAAGTAGTTTTAGTTTGCCCTTTCATTTCAATTTGAGCTCAATTCTGCCAGCAAAGATAGTACTGGAAAGCAACTGGTCTAAAGAGGCTACGTATGCGCTACGATAAACTCTGAACTGGAACATGAGACCCAGCTTTACAGGCCTGAGTTATTACAAGTACAGTACCTCTCCTGGAATAAAAAATTACACTACGTTCAATATTGAAAACAAAAATAAGCTCTAATTTAACGCGATGTAACATTAAAGTTTTGTTTATAAACAAATGAAAACATTTTTTATCCGAGAGACTGAAACTCGACGGAAATATAATATCCTAGATTTCCAATGAAAAGGTCCTTTTATATTTACCTGTGGCATATTGATTGTGCATAAATAGTAATTCTGCCAGTTCTTTACGGGGAATGTTTCATTTATTGAAATTAATACCAGATTCAGGCAGCCGCTCGTGAAAACAAATAGGTCCATTTCTGTTTAATATCATTCAATGTATCATTAAGCCAACTCATTGTGTGTTAAACTGAATGCTCAGAGAGCAATTTTCAGATATCTATAAATGATTAATCTTTTTATTTGACCTTTTAAAGGATGGGTGCACCATTTTACATTAATTTTAACAAACGTCCAAGAGTGTCAAACTCCATAGCACCGATCTTTGAATACAATGGAAAATTACCGTTTCACCTAGAATATCCTGGAAATATGTTCCACGGTAACTGTGTTCCAGCGGGAGTTCAATAATGTGCCTTTCTAAAGTCTCGCTGTATTTGCGAGCGACTTAGGTGACGGCTCATCCGAGGATAAATATTTTGCGGATGATTTGACACCTAACAATTTGAGAGGGAGACAATTCATCCGAGGATGAAGTATCCTGGGATGAAACGTCACCTAAGTATTGCGAGCGGCCGCTTCTGTATCAACAGGTGACACGCGCCTGTCCCGCAATTACGGGACAGTTTATTGGACTATGAGCAATCAGAATCTGAACATAAAAGGGTTTCAGTCCTTTGGCGTTTCAAAACTGTAGTTAACGTTTGCGTTGGATGAAGGTACTACTTAAGATTTTTTGACGTTTGCAGGAAGCTTTATTGGTACGAGGATACGGTATTGATCTTTCGGTACGTAGAACTCATCTCACCAAGATCTCTCGATATATCCTGGACACATTTAAACTACACTCAACATCAAATAAACCGCACCTTCCGCGACGCGAACTTTAACGATTTTCTTCTGACACAATCATGGTGACAATATTGGTGTTATTTGAAAGCCCAATAAATATCCTTAATAAAGAAAAACACATTTAATTTCTAAATAAATGATTATCATATACCATAAATGTGACTTGAAAAGAGACCTCACTTTGGGCTCACCTCTGGGATCAATTAGACCAAATTGTATGGTTATAAAACCAAATAATGATCACACGTGTCCTCTTTAACAGATGGATACCTACCGATTAATCCCAACTTAACAGTTTTATAGCCATAAAAGTTGGCTCAAGCGCAATAGCCTATCTTTTTAAGAAGTGACTCTGGATCCTTCTAAAGACACATTTTTGGGGTAAAAACCTTTTCTTTAATGAAATGAAGCTTAGAACTAGGCTTTTAAATGGTGCCAATATTGGTGGGAAGTGGGGATGCATACGTTTGAAAGTGCTTGTTGCGGGAGGTGCGATTTATTTGATGTTGAGTAGTATCCATTATATAGTAATATTGTTAAGTTAGTTTTAAGTAACATACGGCAAATAACACAAAAAGTAGGTGAAGGATGTTATAATATTTTCCGGCTTCACCCATGGATTTATAAAACTCCGCTAGTATTTGTTTGTGAACAGGCGTTTTTGCATCAACAGGTGACATATATGTTTGCGCTTGTCCCACAACCGTGGATTGACAAACAAACAAATCGGGACATGAAAATATTTCGTATCGAATGATTTGTATCTGTAGGTAATCTTTTTATAATAAACCCAATGAAGATTAATCCTTGGGTAGGGTGTATAAATACAACCTTTATAGTAGCCTGTTTTAATTTCTGCAATGGCCCATCTTATACTTAAGGCTTCCATTTCCAAGATATTCCTAAGAATCTAATTGGACAGTAGATTATTTAATTACAAGGATTAAGCGTCTACGACTTTCAATAAATCGTCTGTAATTATTGTTTACACGGACGGTAGCCATTGGCCACTTGTTGCTCGACTAGCAGCTGAATTCTTTATAGCCTCGTCATGGCCCTTTCAATAACTGCGTGAGCCGCACTTAACTCATAAATGGGTAGTTAAAAAGACAACTGGAAAATCAAGTAATTGTACAATGGAAATGTTGCTATTGAGTCTTTTGTAACAGATCCGATGAAAATTAAACAGAGCTGACAATTTAATTATCGGCCAAATTAACGGCCACTGTAAAGCAGCGGCGAAAATGGCTTGTTATAAATTAACATGCGAAATGAACTGGTATTGGTACATGTGGTATTAACGTTTAACTGACTCTGTGGTCTAGTGGAAAGACCACCTGCTTCAGACGCAGAGGTCCGGGGTTCGATTCTCAGTGAGGGCAAATTTTTCTGTTCGGTTTGGTTGGTGGTAGGGCTTGCTCTAAGTCCGCCTGGCTAGCTACCACCATCTTACCTAAGTCTGTCGTCATAACAACAATGATAACAGCATTGTTGTGTTCCGGCAGTTAGAGGTAAGTTAGCCAGTTCTTCCGTGGTTGAGGATTCCAGGTGAAGCTCGCTTCCACCTTCGGCCTGATCATTACTTACCATCAGGTGAGATACAGGCCAAGAGCTTCCTCGGATTGTATAAAAAAAGTGGCGTAGTGTTACATTTGAGTAATTTTCATAATGGCTAAATTAAAGTTAATTTACAAATAAGGATTTGTAAACGTTTAAATTCCTAAGGCGGTCAGCGCATCTGCTTTTTACGGTGCTTGTATAACAAACACCCTCTGATTGAATGAGATCGGAATAAGCCCTGCTTGAAACTTCTTCCGTAAACCAAGAATGCCTCAAGTTCCCGTAGTTATGATCGCCTGCTGTTGACATTGTAGAATTCCTTTCGGTTCCGGATTATTCCTGGATTAAACTATTTTAACAAGTTTTGAAGAGGATCTAACAATGTCTTTTAATGTGATAATAATATTCTTGGAATTTCAGTGTGATTATAAGCAGAAATGTTAAGATCTTTTTTAATATTTCTAGTCACAAATGTAAATGTTGCCGTTACTTTATCGATTGAAAATGCTCGTGAATCAGTAAGTTCATTTAGATTGCAATATACTATTTTTGAAAACAAGGAATTGCAATTTCTTATTTTCATATTTGCGTAGTATTAACTTTACTTCAGGTGCTTTCCGTCTGCAAACTTAGATTGCGCGGGGATCAGGGGATCACTTCCTAGTCAGCAACAAGCACAACTATCCGGTTTTTGTACATCTGTTTGCTCAATTTTTGTCTAACCTTTCTGGAGTCAAACTTTATAAGAAACCGCAGACTTGTGTAGCTAGTGCAACAACTGTGTGTAAAAAACACAAAACTCATTTATTTTTGCAAATAGGCTTTTAAAAAGCACTTTTACACGTCCCAGTATCAGTATTAACCCTACCACTGCTTCGGGACAATAAATGGGCCAATGGTGTAGTAGTGCATGCACATAAAGCACGAAATCTTCTTTCTTTCTAAGAAATGGTTTACTGCAATCTCATCCTAGGCATCTCATTTTGCCTTTACTCGTAGACTAAAAGACTCACTCTACGAGCTTTCTTCACCATTTTCCATTTTAGTAAATGTTCCACCATTTTGGGACCATTGTTTACTGTTCCTACTTGTGTCATACCTCAATCACTCTGACGGCTGACTGACCTGGTGAATGGCATGCCGGAATACAACGCAGCTGCGGTTGCGGTTTTGAATCCCGCCGGGGGCAAATTTTTGTGCGGTGAGCGCAAGTATTTACGGAGACTTTGGAATATACTATACAATAGTTGAACATTTGATTGAAGATTGATATAGAATTTAGGTTTGGTGTCGGCGGCATTACTTCAAAGAATCATGTCGACGACTTGTACCCTCTATGACTTTTGACAACATGTCAAAAGTCGAGTCGGTGCGTAGATTGTAGGAAAACAATGACTGAGTTTTACCGCCACTTCGCAGTACCAGCCCAAATATCCCGAAGTGGTGGTAGGGCAAGCTATATTTGGGACGTGTATAGGGAAAGGGCCTAGGTAAATAAAAGATTTGATTTGACTTTCTCCCGAAATCGAAGTTCCCGGAACGTCTCGAAATCCATTTCTGATGTTTTGTGGAAGAGTAAGGATAAATAAAGGTAACTCAACTAATTAGCGAGGTATAACGGTCGCGGACTTGTTTACGTTGAACTTCGTTGTGAGCCACTAATCGCATTGAGGTGGGTGGGTGAAACAGAAGGTTCAAAATTCGCGCAAACAAAAGGTTGACGTCACAAAAAATGAAAATTAACAAATCGTGAATTTACATATCTGTTTGATGCAGTTATCACCACAACCAGCCCTCGTTACTAAACTAAACAGTAATAATTTTTAAACTCTTATTCAACCAACTGTCACACTTTATAGTACCTACCTTAAAGCACGACTGTTCTCACACTGAAAAAAATTTTTAGTTACTGCTTACACAACAAAAGTGACCAGTGGTTATGAGGAACAAAATGTTGTGTAAATTAAACAAATAATTCTAGACTTAGTTTGGTTATAGTTAACACTTAATTCAGTGGTCACTTTTGTTGTGTAAGCAGTAACCAAACATTTTTTTAGTGCATCTACATGCAAATAATATTTTTGTTTGTTAGCCTCTCAAATAGCTATGTAAGTAAAGCAATTCCTCAATTAATAATCTAAGTGACACGGTTTAGTGTAGTATTAGATTTCTT